ACCCTAATACCGGAGCCTACGATATTCCAGGCCGTACTGTGATGGTGGGGGTTCGGGGTATAAACTACGATGACAAAGACGGACTATAGCAGTGTAGCCGTTTTAAGAAGACGTTCATCGTTCTACGTGGATAGAAAAAAATATTTGTTTTTATGTGGCATTAAATTTTCTTACTTTCCTACTATTTTCTGCAAAATTATTATTATTTATGATTTTTGTATAATTATTTAAAAATATATTGCACAGAACCGATGTAACTTTATTTTCTAGTCTAAGCTTAACTCTGAGAAAATATTAACTAAAAACACAATCTTCTTTATAAAAAGAGGAAAATCTGATGAAAAACAAAAATGAAAAATTAAATAAGACGCAGAAAACCTACAGAAAAATCCCTGAAAATATCTAACGTTTAAAACTGTGAGGACGCTCCGACCACCTCTCAGCTCGACAGTTAAAACACGACTGAGCGGTACCCCGAGATGAAGAATCGTACCCTGAGATTCGAGTCTCCCCACCATTACAGTATGGCCTGGAATATCGTAGGCTCCGCTCGGTACTATTAAGTGGTTTACTTACTATTATTATTGTTTTATTTAAAATTTTAAAACGTCGAGTGAACGAGCGTAAATGCGATAGAACTTTATCGCATTTATTATTTGATTATTTTTAATTATATTATTTGTATTTTTTTACAATTAGATGACTTATTTCTTTTCCACTTGAACATTTCTTTCAACTGTTTATAATGAACGCGCTCGTACTTCTGCGTCGAGACCATAAGACCGGTACAATATTGTGCTACTTAAGTTTTATGTGTCGGAGAATATTTGACTACACAAATCGTACATATGTGATTCTCCGGTGTTTTGCATTCTATATAGAGCGACTGTAGCGTACACATAGAAATTATAACTTTTATCAAATTACCTTATTATCATAAATTACCTTTGTTACCATTTTTGTTGATTTCGATGTAAATATCATTCGATTATAAGCAATCAACCAGACAACACGTCTGTCTTTGCGTTTTAATTTTTAAAAACAGTTAATATTATTTAATTACTACAACTCTTTAGCGACCAAGAGGTTCTACTTCATTTATTCGCCAATCTTTGTCTTCGCAGATATCTACAACACAAAAAGGATTCTACTAAATTCCTTTCGGCTGCTAATGGAAGTTAGATAAATACTTATGACAAAAAATTATTAACGTGATCATTAAATCTTAGAAGAAATTACCCTTTCATATTTAATATAGCCGATGTTAAAAAACCAATTATCGGTGCTGATTTTTTACATAATTACGGTATCTTATTAGATATTAAAAACCGTCGTTTAATTTATTTGGAAACCAATCTATGTTCAATACGTTTAATCCAACGAACTAATTCAACTTCACCAAAACTATTTGCTATTGAAACGAAATTTACCAAAGCCTACTAAAAATACAGGCCGTCGTGTTATAGAGGGGATTCGAAGGACTGGCTACGCAAACAAAGACGGCATAATAGCATCGTAGCCGTTCTAGTCGCCTTACGATGACCTCATACATCTAAAAAGTATAAACGCTGCGATCCAACCTACTCAACGGTTCGTACGCAACTAAGCGTTCCTTCCAAACCGAGTGTAATCCTTCGAGATTCAATCGTCCCTACCACTACACGACGGCCTGTATTTCTAGTAGGCTTTGAATTTACACAACTTTTAAAATGCTACTCAAAATTAATTTCTCCCCCAGATTTTTCTTCACCAGTTATACATTATAATAAGCACCATATTATTAAAAATTTAATATTGCTAAAAAAAAATTTTAAACTATGGTATCTAGGTATTTTTCGTCATTTTCGCCCACCATTTTCTCCATAACATATGGTCCCTAAAAAAGTGTCCAATGATTGGGGACCTTGTGGAGATTATCGTCATCTAAATTTAATAACTGTTCTTGATCGTTACCCTCTTCCTCACATACAAGACTTCAACTTGCATTTAAATAACTGTACAATATTCTCGAAACGTTCTGAAACTTAACCTTTCGTTTTTTACTCAAAAAAATTTTCACCTGCGTAAATCAATTATTCTACATTCTTCATTACATTCGATAGAGAATTACTTGCCAATTATTCTGCAATAAACATTTTTAAGCATTTTCTTCATGGAAATCAATTCACTATTTATACAGACCATAAAGCGCTAATAAATTCGTTCTTTTCTAAATCAGAAAAAACTCCTCAGACTCATACTTAAATTACATTACCCAATTCACCTCGGAAATAAAATTTATTAAAGGTAAATCGAACAGCAGACATGGCAGACACATTGTCACGAATCAATGTCGATTGCCTTGAAGATCAATACCCAAACTTACAGATGATTAAAAATGCTCAGGACCAAGATCAACAATTACCTTATTTAATCAACAAACAATCAGCTTCCAAATGCAATTATAACTAACTTATATTTTTATCTGAAACAAAAATTTCAGACTAAAATTTAGTACTTTGGTGCGACATTACTTTAACGTCCCCTAAAATCTATACACCTTAAAAATATAGAAGAGTAATTTTTGATAAATTTCATTCTTTAACTTATTCAGGTTTTCGTTCTACATTACACAGTGTTAAATCTCGCTTCATTTGGCCTCATATGTCAAAGAACATACAATTTTGGACAGGAACATGTCTCCAGTAGCAGAAAACAAAGATCCATCAACATACCAAATCCCTTGTTGAGAAAATATCCATTCCTAAAGGACGATTTGAGCATATCCATATAGATTTAGTAGGACCTTTAGTATCTTCTTTAGGATGTTCTTACGTCCTCACAGTAATCGACCGCTTCACACTTTGGCCTGAAGCTTATCCTATAAATGATATTTCATCTTCTTCAGTAGCAAACACTCTTCTCCGTGAATATCTTTCCAGACTCGGCATACCACAATCTATCACACTCTATTCACAATTTTACATGCTCAGGACTCTCAAAACCGCCATAACAGCCATGAAATGTCGATAGTTGGAATCACGAACCACCAATAAGACTGTTGGGACTCTGATTCTCTTTAAAAGAAGATCGGCGTTGTTCTCCCGCTGAGTTAGGCAACCACTTTGTCTCTCTGGAGAATTTTCTATAAATTCACATCATTCTGTTGACACAGAACCTCTCCTATCTAGTTTGCGCAATACATTTTCAAATTTAAAGCCTGTACCAATTTCATTCCGTTCTACTTCTAAACCTTAATAATCAACCTTAAGAACCGTACATAAGAATTTGTTAAATACTAAATTTGTGTTTCTAAAGTTAGAACATCGTCCATNGATATAAATTAGTAAATTATGTGGATCCGAATGTAACGTTTTTTTTCAACAAGACCATACCAATATTTGACCCACCCTCTGCTAAAAAACCAAATTTATCAATAAAATTAATACTGATATAAATTAGTAAATTATGTGGATCCGAATGTAACGTTTTTTTTCAACAAGACCATACCAATATTTGACCCACCCTCTGCTAAAAAACCAAATTTATCAATAAAATTAATACTGATATAAATTAGTAAATTATGTGGATCCGAATGTAACGTTTTTTTTCAACAAGACCATACCAATATTTGACCCACCCTCTGCTAAAAAACCAAATTTATCAATAAAATTAATACTGATATAAATTAGTAAATTATGTGGATCCGAATGTAACGTTTTTTTTCAACAAGACCATACCAATATTTGACCCACCCTCTGCTAAAAAACCAAATTTATCAATAAAATTAATACTGATATAAATTAGTAAATTATGTGGATCCGAATGTAACGTTTTTTTTCAACAAGACCATACCAATATTTGACCCACCCTCTGCTAAAAAACCAAATTTATCAATAAAATTAATACTGATATAAATTAGTAAATTATGTGGATCCGAATGTAACGTTTTTTTTCAACAAGACCATACCAATATTTGACCCACCCTCTGCTAAAAAATCAAATTTATCAATAAAATTAATACTGATATAAAGTAGTAAATTATGTGGATCCGAATGTAACGTAAAAAGGGGATTGGAGGACGGGGTTTCAGGTAGAAGGTAAGAAAAGACATTTCAATCGTTGTGTCGTATACCTAAGATACAAGGTTATTTAACTCGAAATGCGTTTTAAGAAACTGTTAATTCTTTAATTTTTGTTTAAATTATTAAATTTCCAA